AGGTAATGTTGCCTGGACAAGGCGGGGAGAAATAATTTCCTATTTACTTCAATTATTATTATTATTATTATTTTTAACTGTTATTCAGTTTTATGTACAAGAATAATTCACCCACATATTTCCAGTCAGGAAACCAATTGGAAACACGTTAAATATATATATATATATTTAAGTGACATATTTATGTTTCAGCAAATTTTAATAGAAATAAATTAAATATATTTTTTTGTGTATTTCTCTGCTGCGGGCGGTGGTCAGTCAATAACAGCTGAAGTGTGTCTTTGTCTTCCCTTCCCAAAATTACTGTTGTTATGGATCGTTATCCTACGTCATGTCACGACCCCCCCCCCCTCCTGTTCTACTGCCACACTCCAGAGAATGTAAATAAAGCGCACAGTGCACATCTGGTTTGCGCATAAAAACAAAAAAAAAAAAAAAAAGCCACATGTGGCGCAGCGTGAATCTGTAACTGCCGCACAGACATTCACACGGACCGCAGTCGTTTCGTATTTGTTTTCCGCCGTGAATATGTCAAGTCACCGATGCCAAGTCCACCAGAGGCCACTTCGCTCCAAGACGCATCCGCGAATTTCCCTCCGCTGCGTGACGTGACGTATCTACGCACATCCATCATATTACCCGCTGACTGGCGGGATTGTGCCTCATTAAAATGGGCCATTATGCGGAGGCGAGCGTCGGTAATATCTCTATAATCAAGGTATTTTTCCAAGGGCGACTTGTTAATGTTTGGAGGACTCTTGAATATAAGGGCTCTTTTCATCCCGGGGCCTCGTGCGTTTTGTGCCACAGCCGTCAGAGAGCGAGCGTTTGGGCCTCGGAACAATTTCTGATTTGTTGTGAGGGACTTGAATGGCCCGGAATGTTTGAGGAGAAAATCTGACTTTAAATTAGTTTTTTTTTTTTTTTACCTCCTAGAAAACACTGCAGGTCAGAAAAAGAGAGAGAGAGAGAGAAAGAGAAAAAAAGAGGGGCGGGGAGGGGGGGTTGTTACAGTTGTGGGTTCGAAGCCACTCCCTTTTACTTCCACCGGTAACAATAATTATTATTTTATTATTCTGCCTGTGTTTTTATTTTCGCGTGCAAATGGTCAGAAAATAGCACGGCTCGATGCAGAATCTAAAAAGAAATATCACTCTCTTCAAGCGGATCCACGTCCAACATTTGGTTTTGTTTGGTTAAGGCCAGGCGAGACTGGAACTCTCCAATAAAAATAAATCTCAAATTAATTATGGCCTGGAGCGAGGGGCCAGACAGTTCGTGTGTGTGTGTGTGTGTGTGTGTGCTGCAGTCTCCACTCCTGCCCTCAGTATTTTCAATCTTTTAGCCCCGGAGAAGAATGATCTGATTACTGCACTGCACTTTAATAAACAGAAACTCCAGCTCACAGGGACAGACTGGGACCAGTCCTCCCTGGAATAACAATCTGCCCCAAAAAGGTTTCTCACTACTTTCTTAAAAAAAAAAGAAAAAGAAAAAAAAGTTACATTCTTGTTTTTTTGTCTATAAAATCATTTTTTTTAAATATACAACACGTGGAATGAAATTAAAACAAACGCACTATTTTCTCACTTTTTTTTTCTACTGGATTTTTGATAGAGTTTTAAAGGATAAAAAAAAAAGAGAGGACGTCCCGCCTCCAGTCAAACTCATTCCGTCCAAATAAGAATTCAAGAAACGTCATAAAACCTCATATTTTCCCCGTTTGAGCCAAATCAAAGCTTCAGAACCATTTCCCCCTGACTCTGGATCTGGGTAGATCTTCACATAAGCTGAAGAGGAAAGGATGGGCCTAACAATTGAAATGGGCTGCTGAACATTAAACCCACACAGTGTCCGCCCACCTCTGGCTCGTCGCCCTGGTGGAGAGACAGAGGAGCTACTGGCTCGTGGTGTGAGGAAGAAATGTCTGGCTGTCTAGTTCCAGCGTCGAGCCAGATGTTCTGTGGTTCCCTGTGTAAACCAACCAGCATCTGTTTATTGGCCTTCCAAAATGTTTGTTACCACTGTGTTCGTTATGGTCCCCCGGTCTGTGACGGCAGGTACACAGAGTAATAGTAGTAATAGTAATTAAAGATGGTTGAATTTGATTGTATTGACCTGATAAATATAAAAAAAAA